GCGCTGTTGTCGCATTTAGCTCGGTCTCGGTGGACGCCAGCGGCCCAGGTTTAGACGGCGAGTTTCCCAACTGAGTGATTTAGTAACGTTGCCTAAAAGGTTCTTCATCTGTCGGATCTTAGATTTTGGACAGAAAACTTCCTTTTTCTCGACACTGACCGTAGAGTTAACCTCTTCTTCAGCTGTCGGATCTTACAAAACTTGTGTGGTTCTTTGTTTTCTTCTCTCCATCGCTTTTCCTAAACGTTCAGCTGGTATTCAAGTAAGCATGTCTAACCAACCGGCTCAGCTCCAGGCCGTCACAACAGGTTGAAGGGTCGATCGCCTGCACAGTGTCATAAACGGTGCAATTGACGAGTAATTTTAGAGGTGATATGACAGGTCCTTGGGCCCTATAGGACGCTTGTTCAGGGTGACTCCGAACTACACTGAAATCTTTGTTACCATGGAATTGATCGAAATTGGCGAACACCAGGGAGCTGAGAAACACCGTTTCCATGATTCCTCGAGTGCTGGTCGGCACTTGGCGGATTTAGCGAATGGTCTATCGTAGACAATAAAAAGATATAAAGTGCTGATTTCAGGCTTGTGTGCCCCTTTTGATATGCCTGGTCAGATTTGGAATTTTCATACTTATCAAGGAATATCAGAATATATCTGGCATTACGAGGCTATATCAGGCAGCTATACCATATATAAGGTGATTTGTGACCAATTTTTTATGTTTCATATCTGACATTTTCAGATCTGGCCAGATATAAATTTTTTGTGAGGGCGCAATTCCCCCTCCTCAAATATATCGCTCATTTCCGAATTAGGCTCTCATTAGTTACAAGAAGTAATTTAAATATCGAAGGTAGAGGAACTTGCGCTTACACTAGTATGCCGTTTATTCATTCATATTAGTGAAGACCAATTAGAAAGTATCATCTATCAAAAAGTAATAAATGATTTTAATAGAAAACACGACTCTGTACATGTGCTTTTAAATATTTGTATAAAGCATACACTCCGAGAAATTCCTGCGCGTCTACTTACCCGCATAACACTCAAAGAGCCAATCTCTGCTATCTATGAAATCAGCTCAGCGAATGATGAGGCGGAACATCCGTTTAGACCTAAAAATGAAGTCTGCGCTGTGGCATTACGCAATGCAAAGCTTCGTGCTTGCATTGCGTAATGCCACAGCCAATACTTAATTTTGATGTCTAAACAGATAGATGTTCCGCCTCATCATTCGCTGAGCTGATATCGCAGATTGCAGAGATTGGCTATTCAGGCGTCTTGCGGGTAAGTAGAAGTGCAGGCATTGCTTAGAGTGCATTGACAAGTTTGATCACAAGCACACATAGTCTGAGCAACAAGAATACCGAAGACATATGGCAGCGATCACGATTTTATGTGAGGATTCATAAAAAAAACATTTTACTAGGCACAACAGTAGGTACATTTGATCGCTCCAGGTTTAATTGGAATGTGTAGTACAACCGAAAACGAGAGACGCGATAAAAAAAATTAATATACAATAATATGGTACGCTTAAAGTTCTTCAATCTTTCCTTCTTTAAAAAAAAAAAACAAACAACCGCGTCTCCACGTGGTGAATGATGTTGATTGGGGCGAAGCTCTGGTGGTGCTTGTCTGCGTAGACGTTAGGCCGCAGCATGCCGAGCTTTTCGTTCGTTTTCGTCCATGTCACGCTGCGGTCAAATGCTCAAATGCGTATATAACCACGTTCCATACCAGACATTCTCTTTCTCGCTCACCGTCTACGCAGACAAGCACCACCAGAGCTTCGCCCCAATCAACATATTCACCACGTAAAAATGCGTTTTTTTTTGCCTTACACGAGCACGGGAGCACGCGCTCACGTGCTCGTGACGGCGGATGGACATACGGGCCGTGTTCCAAAATTTACTCGATCTCACTCCAGGGTAAAGGTTTTGTATCCTTGGCGTTTTAAAACCGTCCTATACATTAAGCAAAAGTTTGCAATACGCCATGCAAAAACAAAATACAAATAAACGCTGATGCGTGCTGGAATAGTAATAATTCACACCTGAACAAAGAGCGATACAGACGCCCACTCCGTACTTGCACAATGTTTTCGCGAATGCTTGACACAAACGGGGCAACCCGTAAAGAGTACTTCGCGAAACTCACGATGATGCGCCTTTGTATTCCAACAAAGCAAGCCTTCCCCAAGCTCTCGCCCAGCGCGCGGAAGGAGTCGAAGCGAAACAAACAAAAATACAAAATATTTCTTCACTTGGCAACTTGATGGCTGGTGCCGAAGGGGCGGAAGACGACAGCGACCGTGGAAGAGTTGTAAAAGCCGCGCGACCCGCGCGCAATCCCGAAAATGCGAGTGCCAGCGCCGCGACTGCGGGAGGCCGAGAACTGCTTCTGAGTGCGTGAGTTCGGCGAGTAAGTGAGTTCATGACTACGGTGAGGGCGTGAGTTCGGTGATTTCAGTAAGTTAATGAGTTCAGTGAGTTCATGAGTTCTGTGATTTCATGAGTTCAATGAGTTCATTAATTCTGTGATTTCATGATTTCGGTGAGTTCATGAGTCCAGTGAGGGGCGTGAGTTCGGTGAGTTCACGGTTTTCGTGAGTTCATGAGTTCGTGAGTTCGTGAGTGAGGACTTGAAGGTGAGTGTGACCGTGAGGGTGAGGGTGAGTGAGTTTTTAACTTGATATCTTGAGCTAGCTGTGAGTGAGTTCAATTAAAAATGCCGACCTCTGTGAACCAGTCATAAGTGGAAAAGACCTTGTGACTTGCAATTTTGTCGCTACTTGATTGGTCCCATTAGCTCGTAGTGTTGGATGTGTTCGACGTTAAAGGGTCCATGAAACGAATTTTGGGCTGGGATAAATGATTTTAATTCGGGACTTTACTAATCGCATATCGTTTAGTTCGCCAGAAGAAAGAGGGTAGAAAGTCAAAAGGCCAGCTTTTCGGTACGAACATTTGAAAATTTAGCAAACTAATTCGTACTTTCTTTCCTTCGAAAGCTCTCCGCCTTTTCATTATGATACATCCACGGTTCCCAAAGCGCGTCAGCGGTGCCAGCCTGACGTCAGCCGAGCCCAGCTCACGCATTAGACACGAGAACTGCGCCACTCGGAGGTATGTGCTCGTCAACAATCAATCCGTCGACGAATATTTGGATTCGCGTTCGTGGCCAATGAGTGCCCTGACGCAACTTATCGTCACTGGGGAATGACAAGTTCTATGGTGTGCATAAAAAGCACGGTTGAAGCTATAGGAGTTATCGCACCGGTGCCGAAGAATGTCACGACTACGTAATTTCACTATTCGCATTTGAGTTGAGGATTAAAGCTATGGAGGAAGAAGTGGGAAAATCGTTTCATGACCCCTTTAAGCTGAAACGCAGTATACTTCTTTTAACGCATAGTTCGAAAAAGGTTGAACGGTTATACACTTGTACGTAAATTAAGAACAAACTGACGCACCTAGGGCAAAAGGGATGCGAAATTTAGGGGATGTATTACTTTAACATTAAAAAACTATATTTTGGTTATGTAAAAAAAGTGCAGCCCATAAATTTTGCATCCCTTTTGCTTTAAGTGCGTCAGTTTTTCCTAGTTTGCGCGCGTGCGCACTCCATTAGAACCTTCGTAAAACTATACGCTAAACGTTAAAAAAAAGTCGAACCTGGTTAATGTATATCTTTAGCAGATTCGCAACATCCATACCCGTATGGAAATCTTATATCTGGGCCATATCTGGCCATATCAAACATTATATGATTATATACGGCCTATATACAGCCATATCAGGCATATATACAGACTTATCTGGCGTATATACAGCCTGATATGGCGTATATACAGACATATCTGGCGTATATACAGACTTATCTGGCGGCCGGTTTTCAATATATTAAAAAGTTTAAAAAGTAAAAAAATTCTTTGTTAGCAAACTCTGAATGACTCATTGTTCGCGAGCTAAATATTAGCACAAATGATCCCAAACCTCAGCTTTGACAAGCTTAAGTTTGAAATTATTTGTGCTAGTTTTCACGAGGATTTCAATGTAGCTTAGTTATTTCAAAGTGTTGACATTACGCCCGAATAGACAATTTGCTAAATCCCCCAAGCGCCTCGGCCTCTACTCCAGGAATCATGGAGACGGTGTTTCTTCAGCTGCCCAGTGATCGAAAATTTCGGGCAATTCTATGGTTACACACATTTGACTGTGATTCGGAGTCACCTTGAACACGTACCGTACAGAACCCAAATACCTGCCATACCACTTTTAAAATGTCCTACCAATGTTAGTACCGTGCATTCCGTCCAACCTTCAACCTGGATGAGCTGCAGACATATCTCTTTCAATATTATCATTCTCATACAGCTTCTAAGACGCTGATATTAAGTTAGAAACGCAAAAAATGTCATAAACAGCTCCGCTGAATCCGAGCTAAATCCCGGTTTTGGTTGTTGTGATTCCTCGGCTTTTAAGTGATTGTTGGTAAAACAACAATCACGAGAATGATAATATGGTAAGAGATTTCGGCGGCTCAGCTTGGTTGAAGGTTGGACAGAATGCACAGTATCATAAACGCTGCTATTGACGAGAACATTTAAAAGTGATATGACAGGTACTTCAGCCCTTTGGGACGCTTGTTCAGGGTGACTACGAATTACACTCGAAACTGTGTAACCATGGAATTGGTCAAAACTAGCGATCACTAGGGTGCTGAAGGATCACCGTTTCCATAACTCCTCGAGTGCAGGCCGGGGCACTTGGAAGACATGTAGACATTAAAAAGATATAGAGTGCGGATTTCAGGCTTGTGTCCTTTTGAACTGCCTGGCCAGATCTGAAATTTCCATACTTAGCCAGATCTGGAATTTCCATACCTGATTTTCAGGCTATATCTGGCATTATGAGGCTATATCTGGCAGATCTGGCCAGATATAAATTTTTTGTAAGGGTAGTCACTACGACGTGGGAATACATACAACATACCTCTTTGTCCCTTTGCTTGGAGTCTCCGAACTGGGAATACAACACGATGACCTGAAGGGGCATCCAGCAAATGACGAAGGCCACCAGAACCGTGCACACCATTGTTATGACCTGCATAAAACGTGTAGTGACACGTATTAATATATTTTTCATGATATTGATGTTATTGATACTACCGTCTCATATAGGGGCGTGGTGGGACGGTAGTACATGATGTAATTGCAGATTAGTACATTTCTAGTTGTTTTAGGCACACATGTAACCTAAGAAAAAACATCAAAGACGTCATTATACAGAAATTAATAAGACAAAAGACAAAAACAAAACAGTTCGTTGCTAAAATCGCAAAAACTGCTGAGACTAGTTCTAAATGATGACTCAGATGAAGCATTTAATATATGATTCGATAAGGTGTTTCAGTCATGAACGGTTCTTTAAAAAATTAATACTGAAGCACATTAACCGTACAATTTAATTATTTTAATAATCTAAAATAAAACTTTTGCGTGGGATAATTTTAAAGAACAACTGAAATATATTTAGAACTGTGAATTCTAAAGCTATTGCTTAATAAGACCTTTAAAAAGTTTAACCTTTTGAACAAGTTTCGGTGGTTTAATGAGATGTGGTTTGTACGTTCAGAACAAACTTGGGGGAGTTTCGCCAATGATAAGAGTAAAAAGACAAAAAAAAAAAAACCAGAAGTTTTAAAGCGCCGACGTTATGGTAACGCTACTCTCTACAAAACCTGGGGCGCGGACTTTTCCCCAAAGCACTTCAAAGAGTCAATCTCTTCAATCTACGGAGAAATCTCGGTGAATGGCGATGCTGATCATATGTATAGACATAAAGAAAGTGTCTGCGCCGTGCCCCAGCAAAAAAACTTCTTTTTTAAACCAAACTATAGCTTACTAGAATGAAAAGTTGGGCTAGTTGGTAATAATCTATATTGAAAAACAGCGCGAATAACACACGGCGACGACTTCATCGTCAGCATTCTTCGTTCCATCGAGATTTCTTGCAAGTTCTTGTCGTCTAAACCATCATACATCATCAACAGGCGCTGAGTTTCACGGAATTAAAGAAGCAGTCAAGCATATTTGTCAACAACCACCACAACAATGGATCTTATTTACAGATTCAAAATGCGCTTTACAGTCGCTCAGTTTATTGGAAAGAAATAATGTATTCAATTTTCTTCTCTACAAATAGCTGAGTACCACTACCTAGCATTCGAATACGGTCACCAAATTACTTGTCAACGGATACCAGCACATTCCGGTATACGAGGTAACGAATGCCCTGACAAATCAGCCAAGAGGGCCCACCAGCACATCTCAACACGAATGGTTCCTTTTACGAAAAGTGATTGTACATCTCTGACAAGACAAATTGCAAAAAGTGCATGTGAGATGCTTTGGTCCTCAATGAATTCTAACTCTATGACATTGACCCTTTATTAACAACACGACTACCAAGCGACCTACCACGACATTTAGAAACTCTCATACATAGACTTCGCCTCAACTGTGCGTACACGAAGAACTATCGCTTTAAAATAAAACAACGTGCGACTCCGGATTGTGAGACATGCAGTGCGCCGAAAACCATTAGACACATTCTACTCACGTGTCAAGCATATGAAAATGAACGCAAAGCTTACGAAAACTCTACGAATGCTCTGGACTCAAGGCCTTTTGATCTTACAAAGCTTCTCGGACCTTGGCCTGCTAAGAAACATCGAGCAGCCTTAAAAGCTCTCTTTAAAATCCTCGAAGACATTGACTTGCTGAGAGTGCTATAATTATTTTTTTCATCTTTCTCTTATTTCTCATTTCGGAACTAGACGCTATGGCGTGTATATATTTTAACATTTCATCTCATCATCATTGACCCTTTGTCGATCATCTTTCCGTCCCCTCTCCCCTTCCCCACCACAGAGAAGCCTGTTAGAGCGCAAAGCTCAGACTGAACTCGCCGCTTTAGTAAAGACATTCTCTCTCTCTCTCTCTTCTGAAAACACACACAGAAAATCACGCGAGGATTGCTTCTTCTTTTTCCTCTTCCGTTAAGCTATTGGACAGCGAGATAGTTTTTTTTTTTTTTTTTTTGGACATGGTTAGACCAGAGTATTGAAGATCGAGATTGAAGATCAAAGAAAGACGAAAAGAGGAAGAAGACGAGATGACGTATACCCTGTGCTGGTGTGTTTTAATTTGATGTGATTTATAATGTTGCGCGCTAAATGACGAATGACTGGTGGGAGAGGAAAAAAAAAGAAGCAGTCCTCACGTGATTTTCTGTGTATGTTTTCAGAATAGATAGTTGATAGCCAGCGCCTCGTCCTGTGTGTTCCCTTCTCTTTGTCCGTGTGTTATTTGCGCTGTTTTTCAATACGGGATATAGCGTAAGCGGTTGCGACGAAGTTCTAAAGTTTCAGAACTTTCCGTTCCCACCAGCAGACGCTTTTCACTTCCATAGATTAGTGGGAACCACTGGCACACGTTTCCTAAATAAATCATCTTTTTTTTTAATCGCTTAAAATTTCTGGTTTCGATAATGGTAGTCCCCGAAACTTTGGCATCTATAGACCATTCCACTAAGTGCTCTAAGGGCGGCGCCATTTTGTTACATCCGGGCATTTCAGCTAATTTGGCCGGGGAAAAAAGAAAAGAGTGGGCACGTGCCTGATTTTGATAGCAGACGTCAAACCAGCGTTCTCAATGTCTGGGCAGTATTCATGGGCTCTACCGAACATCTAAGGCTTGCTTGCTATTGCCGCTTTGAAGTGGTTCGCGGCTCTCGCTTATGGCTACTCCGGGAGCAGTTTATTTTGTCTGTTGTCTTATTTCAGTAAACAATCACCTAGCGAACCTTCGTTTGGTTATTTCCATAACAACGGCGTTCATCGGCCTTCCCCTGCATCTATTCTGTCAAAATAGAACCCTGATTGTGCAGCTCTGAGTTAAAAAAAAAAACCTTGCTTGGTTTTTTTTTCTGAAGCGCCATGCAAACGTAAAAGTTTTTTTCAGACAGGAGTTAGAAACGTCAAATCCCAGAACAGTTTTCCTGGCGTGATCCCAGCCATGTGTAACAGCAATTTGTGAGCCAAAGAAGCGCCGTAACGCCGAGGTTAGCTGCTTTTATTTTCTTATGAATTACAATAGAGAACCTTGCACAAACCCCGCTGCCGGCGCACCCAAGTCGTTGGGATTTCGAAGGGGCATTGAAGTCGATTGCGCACTCATTGGTTGCTTTCTAAGTACCATCTATACGTAAACATCGCGAAAAGTTATTTTGGTTACGATGAGACCACTACAAACTTCTGCGGTGATGTAAGCTTTATAACGTCCAGTCGTGGGTCGTTTTGCGATACTTGTATGGCAAAACTGTAAATTGTTACTTTTTTGGTAAGTTTTAACTGTAACTCGATATTTTTTAAGTAACTGTAAAGATAACAAAATACTTTTTATTTTAAAGTAACTAAAAAGTTTCTGCAAATATGCAAATACTTTTCGCGAAAATGTTACCCTATTTTGTAAACACTACAGCGGGTTCGACCATGCGCGGAGGTTGTGCCCTCATTAAGGGGAATCCACACAAAGGAGAACTCCGCGGACGGATGTCGTGACGTAAACGACCAGGGAAACTCCGTCCTCGGCTCCGCCTCCCACCTGTGGAGCTTTCGTGTTGAGAGTACGAAGCCTCCGCGCCTCCGCCACGGAGGAGAACGGCGCCGCGAAACGTCAGAAAGGGATGAAGTATGTTTCACATGATGCGCGCTCCACGGAGGAAAGGGACGGATTTCTCCTTTGTGTGGATACCCCATTAGACGCGACAAGATAAAACGTGGAGATGCGGTTCAAAACTCTTTTCGTCGGAGGAAAGTGCACGGGGAACAGCGCATTTACCATTTGCTTTATTTCAACCTTTCTGTGCGAAGCTCTCTCGCCCCGTCTTCACCCTTTCCGGCCTCATCGAACACCCCTGCCACTTCATCCAAGCGAAAGAGCCACCACGCAGAAACACGCCAGGCGTGAACGCCTAATGGTGAGCTGTTAAAAGTGGAACGGGAGCCTCCGTCGTCGGTGCCGCAGCAGTCGCGGCGGTAGCTTCCTTTGCGATAGCGAGTCTCCGCCAGTAGACGTTGTTTCTACTGATCGGCTTGCCCTTTCCCAGGGGCCGTGAGCCCGTGATCCACCAAATGAGCCACGGTCGAGTCTTGTTCTCCGTTGCATAGAAGAAATTAAAAATAAAAGCGGAACGCGTTCCGAGACGGCTTTGTGTTCCTTTCGTTCACTCATTTTGTACTTTATCAGTTTTAAATGTTTTAACCTTCGGCTCCCCTCGCTAATATTGTAATGTACCTGTCTGTTCATCTGTAATGGAACTTTCTGTTCATCTGTCTGTTCATCTGTACCTCCCCCTCCTGTTAGCTGAAAACGAGGAACAAGAGAGCTCTTAGAGAAAGAGGAAGGTAATAAATAGAAACCGTAGTCATCGTGCGTTTTCACCATTGTCTTCATAGGTAAATTAAAAAAAAAAGAAACGAAAGTATATTGAAAGTAACTCAGGTACTATGACACGGGAGATCAGTGGCAGAGTGGGCAAACGCGTCTCAGCTCGTAGCGTGGAGCGAAAGCTTGCGCTGCAGAACCTCCTGGGTTTGTTCTGGGTGAGTTTCGTACTGGCACGCGTTCGTGTAAGCACTACTGCGTGATGCACGTTAAAAAAAACCCAGGTTAGCGGTTGTACAGCACTGGCTAAATTTCTCATCTACAGCTAAGAGACAGGACACCCGTTGAGGTGTACTAGCATCAAGGCTGTGTAAGCATATCAGCAACACAATTTTTTTTACTACGACGAAGTAACTGTAACTGTAACGCGTTAGTTCTATTTTAATTAACCTGCCAAGTTCTGTATCAGTCCGTGCATTTCTCGTCCGACGATAGAGAGAACATCGGCTCGCTTTGATTCCGGAATGTCGTTCGTAGTGGTTGAGATCATGCCAGAGAGACTTCAACGAAGCGAAGAAGCAACTCACCAAGCAGAGTCTGCTAGTGCACTATGACCCTGCACTTCCTTTGGAACTGCGCTGTGACGCATCGAGC